TAACGTTACATTAACTTTCATATTTTAAACATACTACTGGCAAGTGAATTTTAAAATGAACAGCAATAATTACTCTAGAACGATCCCAGCAGAGCTGTGGGTAGCCTAGTCACTATAACGGGTAAATTTTGTATTCGTTTTACACTGGTGTTTTTTTTGTCTATAAAGTCTTTGTACTACAGCAACCAACCAACTAACCTGCATGAAAAATCAGTTTGTTTTGTTTCACAATTTTGCACGAAGCTACAAAAAGGACGAATTGTGCATAACCATCTATAATTTTGAAATGATGTACTTGGTTTGCTTCTTTGTTTATTGAATTTCACGTAAACCTACTCGAGGGTTATCTGCGCTGGCCCTCCATAATTTTGAAGTGATAGACTAGAGAGAAGGCAGCTAGTCATCACCACCCCCCGCCAACTCTTGGGCTACTCTTTTACCGACGAAAAGTGGGACTGATTGCAACATTATAACGCCCCCATAGCTGAAAGAGCGAGCATGATCGGTGTCGGGATTCGAACCCGATTCTCCCTACTTAACTTCTTGTCAATGACTATACGCACGATTTACAATTTTGTTTGGAATGCAAAGTAAATTATTTATTAATTTTTCTAGTTTCAATAAAATACTGTGAATAAATTAAATTATTTAAAATTTTTGTAAGTTTGCACGTTATTTCAACACAGGCCGGCTCAGCATTCAAACTTAACCCTAAATATCAAACCTAGTTGTTTAAGCCGGTCTTCTCAAGTAAGCAAAAACTAATTATGTTGGGGGGATTTTTCTTTAATGGTGGTAGAGAAATTACAAAGTAATCGCTCTTAAGATACTTATTCCTTAAAAGCTAATTCCCAAATTCAATAAATAATCATTCAATGTTTTTATTTGCTAGAACGTTTGATTTCAAAAAATCTGTATTCCATCGCTGTGTAGCTTGCATAAAACTTATTTCATGCATTATTTCTAATAATTATTATATTCGCTTTTCTTCTCCTTTTTGCTGTAATAAAATACAAGTAGTTGAAAATTTGTTGAGTACGCTTTTAAAAAAAAGAATTATTTATAAATTACACGAAATGTAAAGACTTTAAAAAGCATTATCAGTGTTCAACTGATGGTTTCACTTGTCAGTTTGGGTGTTATCTTAATACAAAACGTTTTGTTAATATACGTATCTGTCATGTTCACCAGATATTTTCGCTTTAAAACCTAACTCTTTGTTGCTTTCTATTGAAGTTTCACCATCATATTTTATGGATAGTTTCGTTTATTTTGTTCAATTATTCCTTTCCACTGAACATTTTGTTTTAATATTGTACTAAACGTTTCACCCATCAGCCGGAGTATCTTTTAATTAAAGTTTCACTGTGATATTCTACGGATGGTTTCGTTTGTTTTGAGTTTTCACTTTCTAAGAAACATTTCAGTATCATATTCTACATGGCTTTATTTGTAAATTTGACACAGATGAAAATGTGAAGATTAGTTAAACAATAAAGACCGACTGAACCAGAGAAAATAATAATGAGTCATTGAATGGTCAGCTAAGTAATGGGAAACGGATTAGAATAGCGAAGGAAACAGTAAGTATTGTAATTATTTTTTATATATTGGCAGATGTACTAGACTAGAGAAGATATTATTGAGTGACAGAATAGAACAGTGAATGTAATAATGAGGGACATTATGATTACCTAATCTATATCAAACCGATTAGAACAGTGAAAGTAATAATGAGGGACATTATGATTACTTAATCTATATCAGACCAATTAGAACAGTGAAAGTAATAATGAGGGACATTATGATTACCTAATCTATATCAGACCAATTATTACTTTCACTGTTCTATGAGGGACATTATGATTATTTAATCTATAGCAGACAATTAGAACAGTGAAAGTAATAATGAGGGACATTATGATTACCTAATCTATATCAGACCAATTAGAACAGTGAAAGTAATAATGAGGGACATTATGATTACCTAATCTATATCAGACCAATTAGAACAGTGAAAGTAAATATGAGGGACATTATGATTATTTAATCTATATCAGACAATTAGAACAACGAAGGGAATGTTTAGTGCGAGAATAATTATGGAGGAGTTACAGAATTAATGAGTAACAGAATGAAATTTAGCATTGAGTGTATTACTAATTAGAACTACATAGGTAGTACTATCTGACAAAAAAAAAGGCCAACAATGGTCGAGAAACAGAAACTGTGTAAAATGAAATAATTCTAACAATAAAATTAGTTTATAATAATTATAACACCAAAGAAAATAACAAAAGAGAGAAAAGGCAACGAAGGAACAGAGTGTTATATATTTGTTGGCAAAATGGAGCATGGTTATGAATACCTATAAATTAATGAGTTTCATATTCTTGACCCATAATCGAGGTAGGAAGTGAATGAGGTCAAACGTGATTCTTTGTCTCTGCTCTGATTTCCTGCTATACAGAGATTACTCGCGTTTTATATATATATATATATATATACATATAGCTTGTTTTTCACATAATCATACACAGCCTTCAGACTCGTGCAATAGTTACACATATCTATCTCAATGTGAAATAATTTAAAATACTTTAACTGTATTTGCATTTAAGTAAATATCACCAAGATAGACAAACGATAATTATTTGGGTCATAACCTCGTGATCAGTAATTAAGAATATTTTACTGGGGTAACAAGACCTTTAATTACTTTCAATGTTTTTACATTAAAACGAATTAAAGTTGTGCTTATTCGATTATATATATAAGTAGAGTTAAAAAGGCAGCGAACGTTTTTTTCTTTTCTTTTTAAATCTTGCCAGGCCAAGTAAAGTGCGCAGAAAACAGATGCATTCGGACATCCTGTAGATCATTTTTAAAAATGTTTTGGTGATTACAGAGTCTTCTTTGTTTGTTGCTTAAGTAAACTTATGTTGTTTTTTTTTGTTTGTTTTTGTTTTCCTCCATGCTGTGATGCTGTTAAGGGTTGCGAAGGGAGGTGTGGTTGTGTCATGTGCTTTTGTTGCCAAGACCGGAAGAGGTGCAAGGTCATAATCACCAGTATCTGTATGCCCATGAAAATGTTTCTAAGAAGCTAACTTGAGTAATTACACACTTAAAAAAAAGGGGGAGGGGGGATTATGCAACTTCTTAGCAAGCCTCAGTTACAATTTGGAGCCGATTCAGTCGACGCAAAGTATTCGTAATGTTCAGGAAATCAATCATTCAAACTGTCATCATCTTCGGAAATCACACTTTCTTGCACGTGCTAGGAAGGCAAGAGAACGAGTTAATGCTACGTCACGGCGGGTAAGAGTCTAAAGTTTCCAAGGGTTACGACTACTCTTAAGTTAATCACCAGATTTTCTGAGAATCGTCCGAATGAAATCTTGATTCTCCTAAACCCCACACGTTCAAAGATGTAAAACAGCGAAGTCTTGACACGGTTGATTGATGTTGATAAATTCTTTTCTCATTACACAAAACTAATTTATATTCCCAAGTATTATAACGCTCTAGTAGTAGAGAAAAGCGTATAAAAACGTGATGATGTGATTATGTAATTTCCATTGAATCTTAACAAACATTATAATGTGAAATCGTTAGGGAAGGCGTTTAGTCAACAGCATCCACTGCCATCTCTTGGCTACTTCTACAATCGAATATTAGGATTTGATCATCACTTTTATAACACATTCAAGGCTCCAAAGCGCGACTCTGTGGCAATGGAACGAGAACCACGGACTCTCGGGTTCACAGTCTGGTACGTTGATCATTAGGCCACTATTGGTTAACAAGATCGGTAAAGCGTTCTGTAATCACGAAAGTGGTTCAAATACGATAAATATACTTGAATAAACGTTCTCATTAAACAATTTAACATTTTTCTCTTTTAGCATGTTTTAATGTCCGTAATCAAACATGTTTGATTGTAATTAAGCACAAAGCTACACAATGGGCTATCTGTACTTTGCCCACCACGGGTATCGAAACCCGGATTCTAGCGTTGTAAGTCCGCAGACATACCGCTGTGCCACTAGGGGGCTCGAGTATAGTGACTAATGCGTTCGGTAAGACTAAAGTTTATTTCTTTTCTTTTCTCTCTCTCTGTTTTCTTTTACTGGTACGAATGAAATCATAAATCGGTGTTTTTAAGGTCTGTGTTGTATAGCTGAAACAAATTTGTTGTGTCAATATTACGTGATTATAATACAGCGATAATTCTTTCGAGAGCCAAATTACATTAATAATTCTATGAACCTATGAATGAAAGCAATAAAGAATATGTGATAATATGTCAATCACGCTATACCTCCAATATCCATTGCCATCGTCCAATACTAGGGCTCTCGGGTTGACTGGGATACGAGAAACATAGTAGTGGTGGAGGCCCTATTTATTATATCATAACATAGCAGTACTAAAACATGGCTGAAAAGAAAAAGCGGAAGTAATTTCAACCTCGTTTGAGCCACGTGATTTCGATCACAATTTTAACATTTGTTCTACATTGACCGGAAAAACCAGCAGTCTGTTTTTAGTTATTACAAAGACCTTTTCATTCATTGAATATATTTCTCATGAAATATCTTACATTATCAGGCTTGGCTTGCACGTTCAAGTATGTGAATGAGCCCTATACTGCAAGTATAATGTATGCATGAATTTAAGACAAATGTACAGACGTGATAATTTGAAGTAAACATTAAGAAACATTCCTGGAACGTTAATCAACACTCAACTACCAGTTAGATTTTTATACGTTGTTTCAAAATAGCATATCAATTTGCCAGGATAACTTTTTTTCTCAATATTAGCGGTTTCCAACCCTTTTTGGTATTTCACTGTGGTGAAGAGTGCAACAGTCTGTATACCAAATTCTGTTCGCCCCCTTTCCCCTCCCGCCTTGCCTTGAAACTACCTCGAAGAAAGATATGATCTGGAAAAAGAGAGGTACAGGTTTTCGGTACAACTCGGGTGTGGATGTTGAAACAGCTCGCAGCAAGTCCTACAAGGCCACACGTACCGTCGGCGTATAAAGTCTGTTCATCCTGCGCTTACTGATCAGTTCATTGTCAACTTCATTACAGCGTTCATCTCAGATTACTCTTTTCTACCAAGACGACAAGCTCCATACCAGACAACGTGTTATCACTTGACACTGAAGGATCCTAACGAGGACAACCGAAGGCTGCTAATATTTTGGCGAAGGTAAGAGGTATTTTGCCATTCGGACTAGCCTCATCTAAATTGGCCGACCGGAAACTTTATAAAAATTTGATGACAGCTAAATATCTCAACTCGTACTACAGTTCAATCACAGGGGTACTTTAGGCTTTACTAAGTCGAATCTTAGGTCTGTATTACATACTTAGTGGTAGATCACCTGATAAGCATATTTAATATTACATGTGTCTGTACAGACAGCAGTGGAGTGACCTGGTTGATTTTGTTGTACCATACAGACAAGGATGTTGGTTACGTAGATAAATAAATAGATAGAAGGTAGAGAGATGTGAATATTTAATTAATACATTCTAAGCCCACGAGCTTACCGCTGAGCCACCGGGGGGAGGAAGGTAAATGGTTAGACAGAGTTTTGTGTGTTTGTATTCTTTCTGAATAAAGTGCTGGTACATATAACGGCTTTTACTGGTGATTGGATGATAATTTTCAAGCCTTTAAATGAGCACAATACATTTAAATAATATATAAGCACTTTTTTTTATTAAAGACAGAACTAAAAACTGTGGTCTTTTTATTCTGCTATAAATGATATTATGAATGTCTTGTAAAGACTACTTATCAATACTGTATACTGAGATAATGATTCGTATGATGTTATAGGACGAAAGTCGCCACATCCTCAACAAAACAAATACGTTATTCGGTTGTATGACGAATCGGTTAAATTATTTCGCTTCTTAAGAAAATGAGTGTAATATGACAAACTAAATAAAATTAGATCCCTCTCTATCTTATAACCCTTTAGTTTTTTCGCTCTCAAAATAACAGCTGTACTTGTTGTTGCCAGTTCCGATTTTATCTATATTAAATGTTCAAGAAACGCGTGACACGTGTAGAGCACAGTTAATAACCCACAGACGTGCACTTTGATAATCCATAGACGTGCACTTTGATAATCCATAGACGTGCACTTTGATAATCCACAGACGTGCATTTTGACAATCCACAGATGTGCATTTTGACAATCCACAGATGTGCATTTTGATAATCCATAGACGTGCATTTTGATAATCCATAGACGTGCATCTTGACTAAATGCGAACTTGATAGTTTTCAAACTATGATAAAATAGTTTCGTAAGCAATACCTCTGTCAATAACACAAAAGTTCAATATGAAAGATTAACGTAACTTAATCCTACGCTAAAAGGGGTAGAGGACCTCTGTGGGGAAGAAAGCCCCGTTATTCAGAGAAAATGCTTCACTGCATAACATATTTTCTTGAAGGATTTCAGTTGATTAAGTGAATGGGAGGCTCATCTTGGACATTAAGTTTAACAGTTCAATTGATTTTCTTATCATGATTAATAAAGTTAGCAAGCTTAAGAGCCACCTACAACAATCGAGGTTCGATACTCGTGAAGGGCACAGCGCAGAGAGCCAATTGTGTAGCTTTTCGCTTGTAACCAAACTAAAGAGCCACCTAAAACAATCGAGGTTCGATACTCGTGGAGGGCACAGCGCAGAGAGCCTATTGTGTAGCTTTGCGCTTGTAACCAAACTAAAGAGCCACCTAAAACAATCGAGGTTCGATACTCGTGAGGGCACAGCGCAGAGAGCCTATTGTGTAGCTTTTCGCTTGTAACCAAACTAAAGAGCCACCTAAAACAATCGAGGTTCGATACTCGTGAAGGGCACAGCGCAGAGAGCCTATTGTGTAGCTTTTCGCTTGTAACTAAACTAAAGAGCCGCCTGTAGTTAACAATAAGAACCTTGGTCTTAAGATATACGCATTACGTGAAATAAAGCAATGCGCTATATTGTGCGTTCGGAATATTTCACTGTGTAGGTAGGTAACAGAAAGTAGAAGGTAATGTAAACTCGGTATAAAGGGTTTGAATGACTAAAAGTATATCATACTTCCCGTCAGAGGTTTAACATGTTGTGAACAGCACTATATAACTGGTGCGTTCTCTCCATCTGTGTCGTACTTTCGTGTGTGTTTTTTTTAAACAGTTTTGAATCATTTAAACTTTTTCTGCACATGTAATTTCAATATTACGTCTCATTGCAGCGTTGTTGATTTTCTTGTTTAAACAGTGTCGTGTATAACACACTCTTCTCCTGCCAGTCCCACCAAACATGCTAGCCCTATCAGGCGTGGGAGCGTTATTATGTGACGGTCAATCCCATTATTCGTTGATAAAAGAATAGCCCAAGAGTTGGCGGTAAGTGGTGATGACTAGCTACCTTCCCTCTAGTTTTTCACTACTAAATTAGGGACAGCTAGTGCAGATAGCCCTGTGTAGCTTTGCGCAAAATACAAACCAAACCTTCCCTGCCATTGCAGGGTTGTTGTTTTTCTTCTTTAAATAGTGTCGTATATAACACACTCGTTCCTTGCCATTGTAGTGTTGTTGTTTTTCTTCTTTAAATAGTGTCGTATATAACACACTCGTTCCTTGCCATTGTAGTGTTGTTGTTTTTCTTCTTTAAATAGTGTCGTATATAA